TAAACCCCTAAAAACCCCTGTAACTGTAAACCCCTATAAACCCCTATAAACACCTAGAAACCCCTGTAAACCCCTATAAACCCCTATAAGCAACCCGTTATACTTAAACCCCTTAAACCCTAAAAAACACTCTAAAATTCCAAACCCACAACACAAGAACTTAACCCTAAACCCTAAAATCTTGAACCCTTAAAGCCTTCAACCCTTCAACCCTAAACCCTAAACCCTTACACCCTTCCACCCTTAACCCTAAACCCTGAACCCTAAACCCTTAAACCCTTAAACCCTAAACTCCCAAACCCACACCTGCTGGAGGCGCCCGTGCGCGGCGCTGGGGCCGGCAAGGCGCCGCGCGCCTTACCCCCGAAACCCGAACAACCAATGCAAGGGGGAGGGTTTAGGGTTTAGGGTTTAGGGTTTCGGGTTTCGGGTTTAGGGTTTAGGGTTTAGGGTTTAGGGCTTAGGGTTTAGGGTTTAAGGTTTTAGGATTAGGGTTTAGGGTTTAGGGTTCGTGGATTCGGGAAGCTTGGGGAGTTTGAGGTTCTGTGGCCACAGGCTCCAGGCTTGAAGGTCTAGAATGAAGTTCTGCGTTGTGTTAGCTTTACGGTTTAGAGTTTAAGGTTTAGGGTTTAGGGTTTAGGGTTTTTTGCTTACGTTTTAGGATTAGGCTTCAGCATCCAGGTTTCGGCAGACCGGGAGCTTCGAAAAAATTGGGGTCCCCCCCCTGTGTAAACCCAGAAAGGGGCTTTGGGGGTTGGGGGTTTACGGTTTAGGGTTTGAGATTTAAGTTCCTTAGGACGCAACCCCGAAAAAGAACCCATCAGTCTCGGAAACCCCCAAACAATTTCCTCCGGAGCACGGCCACATGCGGCGCGGGCAATGCCAGGGGTGCCGCGAACAGGGCCATGGCGACTGGTGGTCGATTGGATCTAAAAACAAAGAAGGCTAACCCCTAAACCCTAAACCCCAAACCCTAAACCCTAAGCCTAAAAGCACTCATCAGAAACGAAGGACCCTTGAGCATGTCGACAATTGAAAAACCCGGCTTCCGGCCCTCGGGGTGGCTTTCGAAGCCTAAACCCTCAACCTTTGCACCCTGAACATCCCGTTTAGGGTTTCGGGTTTAGGGTTTAGGGCTTAGAGTTGAGGGTTTAGGGTTTAGGGTCCACATTCTAAACTCCGCCGGGCGGGTGCGCATTCTGCGCTGCAAAAATGCCTGCCGATGCCTGCGCCCGGTGCCCTACTTGAAGGTTCATGGGTAGTCTCTTTTAGCGTTTAGGGTTTAGTGTGAAGGGGCTAGGGGTTAGGGGTTAGGGCTTAGGGGTTTAAGGCTGAAAAAGACGTACTTGCAAGGAAGCCATGGAAAATCAAACCCGAAACACCCGTACTACTCGAAACTGGGGTTTTTCGGGTCCTGAAAGACCTTCCTGAACCCGAAACCCTGAACCTTCCTAAGCCCAGAGACCTTCCAAAACCTTCCTAAGGCTTCCAAAGCCTTCCAAAACCTTCCTGGACTATCCACCCTAAACCCTAAACCCTAAACCCTAAACCCTAAACCCTAAACCCTAAACCCTAAACCCTAAACCCTAAACCCTAAACCCTAAACCCTAAACCCTAAACCCAACGAACCCTGAGTGTGATTCCATTTCACAGCTTGCACAAGAAGGGCAGTACTTCGGGTCGAGGGTTCAAGGCAAAGCGTTTAAGGTTTAGGGCTTGTAGGGCTTGTAGGGCTTAGGGCTGAGGTTTGTTTGCTCTTTTTCTTTCCTTTTTCGTTTTTGCTTTTTTTTGGGGCGGGCGGGGGGGACGAAAGCCACGCCATACACCTCTAAACCCAAAACTTTGTGACCCTTGAAACCCTAAAGCTTAAATGCCCGAGGCAAAGGTCTAGGTCTAGGCGTCCTGAGCCACGGCTTGAGGGTTTGAGGTGTTATTAGGGCCTAGGGCTCAGAAGCTGGAATGTCGTGTTTGGAGCCGAAGGCTTTTAAAGTAGCCTCAAACGAAAACCCCTAGACCCTCAACCCCAAGCCCCCAGACCCAAGACCGCCAGCCTTCAAATCCGGACTCATCAAGCCCTTAGAAGCCAGTGTCTCTCCAAGCGCAACACGCACGAGAACCCCTTCGGGAAGAGGACGTTCGCGATCTGGCAGACCTCAGGATTCGAGCCAAACCCCTGGAAGCCCCAAGTAAAAACAAAAAAAAACACATTAAACCCAAAAAGCCCACTAACGAGTAACCATAATAGGGAGGCGTTAAGGGAATGTGCTTGTAGATGTTGTGAGAAGGTTATTTGGGGGTTGGGTTTAGGGCTCAGGCCTTAGAGCAGAATATCGCCAAGACATTGAGACTTCAGAACAGCTCCCTGGGCTGCCATGTTTAGGGTTTAGGATTTAGGGTTTAAGGTTTAGGGTTGGTTTAGGGCTTAGGGTTTAGGGTTTACGGCTTACGGTTTAGGGTTTAGGGTCCATGATACAGAAACCACACAGTGAGCTGCAGTTCCTATCCTGAAGCCTATTTACCCCATTTTGAGCTTCTGAACCACTACCCATGGCTGCAGAAACCCTAAATCCTACGCACTAAAACCCTTTTAGCCCTAAACACCTCAAAACCCTGAAACCCTAAAGCCCTAAGACTCTACAAAGCCCTACACCCTAAACCCTAATCCCAAAACCCTAAGCCCTAACCCTAGCCTAGAGGGATTAGGGGATTGGTAGAGCTTGTCCTGGACGCGTTGGCATTGACCCAGCTCAAGCCAATTCGAGTTGCTGCTAGTGTTGCAGTGCTCTTCACGACTTTAAGTAGACCCGGCCTCCCAAAGAAAACCTCAAGCCGGAATGCGGAAATCATAGGCTGACCTGTTTTGAGGGGAGTTGGGGCGGCAACCACTTTGCAGGACCCTGACTTTCCTGTCACAGGGTCGACTGTGGCCCTGCACCCACACCGTAAGGGTTTAGGGCTTCAAAGTACTCAGGGCTTAGTGGAGCTACCCTAAACCCTAAACCCTAAACCCTAAACCCTAAACCCCAAACCCTAAAGTCCCCCAACCACAGATCAGTCCAGTGGCCTCCCCTCCCTGCGACTCCTTCTTGCACAGCTCTTCCAGCTTGCCCCTGGGCGAAGGCGAAGCTGGGGAGAGGGGGCTTAGGGCTTTAGGGTTTAGGGTTTAGGGTTTAGGGTTTTAGGGCTTAGGATTTAGGGTTCAGGGCTTAGGGTTTGGGGTTTAGGGGTTTAGGGGTGTAGGGTCTAGGGAGTTTAGGGAGTTTTTGAGAACAGGTGAGCCCTATGAAGCGCTGGCACCCCTTAACCCGAGCAAAAGTCCTTAGACCCAACTCCCCTAAACCTTAACCCAAGACCCTAAACGGTATATAAATCCTACACCCTCAAACCCTAAACCCTAAACCCTGAACCCTACACCCTAAACCCTTCAACCCTGCACGCCAGGAGCCCTTGGAGGAGGGGGGGGGGTTTAGGGTTTAGGTTTCGGGTTAGGGTTTTAAGGTTTAGGGCTGTAGGGTGTTGGGGTGTAGGCATGCAGGGTTAGGGGTTTAGGGTCTTAGGGTTTTAGGGTTCAAGGTTTAAGGTTTAGAGGGTTGTAGATTTCGGCAAGCCGTGCAGGGCCGCCCCGAAGAGAAGCCGCCCAAGACCCGGGGCTTAGTGAGTCGGGAAAAAACTTTCGAAGGATCCCCAGAAGCCCACCGGGGTTTAGGGTTTAAGGTTTAGGGTTTAGGGTTTAGGGTTTAGGGTTTAGGGTTTAGGGTTGGGGTCCCCAAACATCTGGGTTCCCTCACTGGTCGAGACCGGCCACGGACAGCATCGCCTCTTGCAAGTTCTTTGGGCGAGTTTGGGGCGGGGAGCGCCGAAACCTTAAACCGTAAACCTGAAACCCTAAACCCCACACAAAATATGCAAAAATCCTGACGTTAAGCATATTGGGGGGCGAGGGGGGGGGGGGTGGCCATGCCTGAAATTTCAGTTTAGGGTTGAGGGATTCAACAACCGTTTGCGGTTCATGGTTCAGGGTATGCGGTTCCTTAAACCCAAAAACCCTGAAGCCCTAAAACAACCCTTTCAGAATTGAGTGTTTAGGCCTTAGTTTCCTCAAAAGCCCCAACCCCTGAACCCTAAGCCCGAAATCCCAAACCCTAAGCCTTCAACCCCAAACCCCAAACCCCAAACCCTAAACCCTAAACACTCAACCCCCGCAAAGACACCCAAAAGCACGCGCCTGCGGCCGACTCTTGGCTGCCTCAGCCATGGCTGCGCCGCGGATCTTCACAAGCTCCATGCCTATCGGGGGAACAGAGTGTGGGGTTCAGGGTTTAGGGTTCAGGGTTCAGGGTTCAGGGTTGAGGGTTGAGGGTTGAGGGTTGAGGGTTGAGGGGTTGAGGGTTGAGGGTTGAGGGTTGAGGGTTGAGGGTTGAGGGTTGAGGGTTGAGGGTTGAGGGTTGAGGGTTGAGGGTTGAGGGTTGAGGGTTTGGGGAGTATGCCCTACATTACTTGAAGGCCCATGGTCGCCTTAACTGGGTTTGCACGTCGACGCTTGGGTTGAGAGAGTACGACCCTACAGAGTCCTTTAAAGGGTATTGAAGAGGGGGATATGAGGTACCTGATTTCCTGACTCCCTACAAAGAACCAGAAGGTTTTGTCGGATTGTTACATGGTGCCTTCGTATGGGCCCTTAGTTGTCGAACCCTTACATACCCAATATTAACCACACAAGGGCCCATACTTTCGAAGCCCTTAAAGAAGGCAAGGGACCATATTAAGGGACCAAGTACCTTAGTAGGCCTTGCTGAAACCTACAACACCCTCCTTAACCCCAAAACCCAAAACCCAAACCCTAAACCCTACAACCTGGACCTGCTCCCTAAACCTCTGCATTTTGAGCCCGAGCCTTGTAGCTAGTTTTGCACACGCTGATTGGCCCATCTGTGGAATGGAACATTGCCAGCTACTTCAAGGTGTGAAATGAAACAAAACTTGATCCTGCGATCACTTGGCTACGCATGCACTCTGACAATGCGAACAATCAGAGAGACTGCATGCTCCAACTCGTTCAGTATTTGATCTTTCTCTACAAACCCATTCACGGCCGTGATGCTATGTCCAGCAAGAATCTGCAGCCGAGGGCTCCGTCTCATGTTGTGCGCTCCAACAGGAGACCGACCCCGCGGCGCAGCCCACTCGATGCGCAGCGTGTCTCGATTGACAGCCCACCCTAAAGTTTCAAGGCCTCTTTTCCAACCGGGTTGTCTGCGAAGTTCGAAGTCAAGAACATGGCATGCAGTGTTGAACAAGGAGATCTCATCCCGGGACAACTCCGTATCGTAAAAGAAGATATCGAAGTAGCGGAAGTGCAGGGCCTGCTGTTCCACCATGATTCGGCCGCCCAGCGAGTCCTTCACCTCCCAAAAGCCGTGGCCATGCCCGCAAATTTCAACTGCCGCCCCTTGCTGGTCTTCCGAGACATTGTTCTGGATTTGTCCGGCTCTCAGCACAACATGGGGGGCTTCCGAAGAAGCTTGGGCCTGGAAGGCCTGCCATGATGCGGAGTCTAAAGCAAAGCTCGCAAAGATGCTCCGATGCTGTAGAACCTCTTCTGCATCGGCAGCAGTGGTGAGCTCAGACCAATGCAACTGTCTTGATCTGCACGCTTCTGTCAGCACGTCAAGAAAGTTTGTATTGCCATGACCCCACCTTTCGATGAGCTCAGCAACAAGCTCGCCGTGCTGCTCTACGGGACGTCCGAAGATGCGGCCCTGCGTGCGGCAGATGCCTGTGGCCGCTGAGTGGGCGAATGAAAAGCGCCTGGCTCGGTCGTCAAAAATGTCATGGATCCTGGCTGATGCGTCGACAACGAGCGAAACTTGCAGTCTGTCTGCGTGATGCAGCTCCCAAATCATGCCCGGCTGATCGCGGCGACCATTAACGCAGAAGATCTGGTAGCCCGGCAGCACTCTTTTGTATGGGTTCTGTCGATTCCAGCGAGCAATGCTGCAGTTTCTTGTGCGCACCCTTTCAATCCTCATTCTTTCGAACTCTATTTCCCATCCAAGTGATGAGATTGGGTTCCTGTCGGACCTGCACGGGTCCTGGATGCTAATTTCCAAAACTGTTGGTGCCCTGCAGTAGGCCGCTATCTCTCTGCGGCTGAGATCGCTGGTGTAAGAGAAGACGTCATAAAACCTGAAGCGGAGGGCATCTTGGCGAACACGGAAATAGCCCGCAAAGGCGAACCGCTCGCCCCAAGAGTTCTTGATGACCCAATCCTGGTCAGATGCGCCCACAATCACCACTGCATGTCCTTCCAACTCCCCAGGCCGTTCTTCTGGAGGAGACAAGTCTTCTGCCTGAAGACTTGCATCTGGATTTCGTGCAAAGAAATCATCGAAGCGACGCCACCCTGCCTCGCTCAACCAAAAACAAGCGATCACTGGTCTTTCACTCTGCACAACTCGGGCAGCCGCTGCTTCATCAAGGCTTTCATACCGTAACTGCTTCAGGGGGCAGAAAAAGTCGAGCACAGTTCGCGTGGGTGCGCCATTATAACCAAACCGAGCAGTGATCTCGCGCACTAGAGATTCATGTTTCTCAACAGCTCTGCTAAAAATCCGCATCTGAGCACTGCGGATTGCAGTTGCTGCTGCAAAGGCGTAACAAGTGCCACGATCTTCCTGAGGTCCTCGTGGGCCATGATCCTGGTCATGAACCGTTGGAGACACTTCAGTTGTGACAGTCGCATCGTCTGGCAGCACCGGTCTCCACACACGACGTCGAGGTCGTCTTGTCCACTGACGCCTAGCAGGCCCCGCGAGCATGTCAGCTGAATAATTTGTGCGGGCTAGACGCGACCAGCAAGAAACTCCATGAAAGATGGCAGTCTAGGGATGTCTTCTCTATCACCAAGCAACCTTCTACAATACCTACCACCCGCACTGTGCATCTAAGCCCATGCGCAGCTAAACGAATACTGAAGAGAGCTCGTGTAACTGCCTGGATGAAGTGATGTCCACAACAGTCTCGAGCGAAGGCTATGGCAGTTCTGTAAGGCTGGAAACATGCAGCGCAGGACAACCTCTAGCAGTGTAATATAGGGGCCTTTATAATTACAATAGGGTTTGGGGGGTTATTACAGTATGATTACAAGGGCCCCTAAGACAATACTGATATTCCGACCCCTATATTACGGCTCCTTGACAAACTGAAGGTGCCACACATCCGCAGCCCATCTGCCCATGCTCTACTCTAAGGATGACGCAACATGGAGACTCTCCTAAGGGTTTTGGGTTTCGGGTTTAGGGCTTAGAGTACTCTCGCCAAGAGCCCTTCTGACATCGTAAGAACTCAGGCTGCTTCACGCATGTTCGTCAGGAGGGCAACAACGAAATACTCAAACACTGATGTGCATGTGTTCGCCTGTTGTGTGCAGATGTACATGTGCTGAGGAAACTAGGACGAGTGTTTGTCTACCTGTTGCAATGGAGGGTTTGGCGGTTTCGGGTTTCGGGAAACGGAGTGCTTAGGGTTTATGTTGGCTTTCTCCGGGCACGTATTCTAGGGGTCTGGTTTCGGACGGCTTGCAGAAGCCAAATCCGCACCATAGAATCCATGTGGAAGCAGGACTCACCCCTACACCCTAAACCCTAAACCGCAAACCCTAAAGCCTAAGCCCTAGCCCCTCAACCGCAGCGCTCAGCGCCTTCTTCGAAACTGAAGACGCCGGCCGCGCAAAGAGCCGTGTACTCGCCCAGCGACAGTCCTCGCGGGCCAAAAGTTGGGGGCCGATCCCTGTGACACGGAGGGCTTGGAGTCTAGGAAGGCGGAGACCCTAAGCTCAACCACACAGGGCCCGCTCTCTGAAAACTGGCCCCTTTGGGGGTCTCGGGGATTAGGGTCTAGAGGTTTGTGGGGTTTAGGGGAGTAGGGTTTTGGGGTTTGTGAGGAATAGGGGTTCGGGTTCGGACGCGTTTTCTGCGAATGTTGGTCGTCACGTCGGGGGTCCCTAGCCTTGTACGTGGGGCTTCGTATCACAATTTGAAGACTGCGCAGAGCACCCTATAAGCCGCCTGAGCCTCTCTTTGAACCCTACACACCAAGAAGCCTACAACAAAACCCTGCAACGCCAAACCCGATCCGCCGAGTCCCTCGGACCATCGCAAGATACCCTGCAAGAACTCAGGAACCCGCTAGAAGCCGTGTAGGGCCAGAAGAAGGGACCCTCAAGGAGAACCCCCAGCCTTACAATCCCAACTACGGACTCCCTCGTGGGGGTTTCCTCGAAGGAAGCCCTACAGGGGTCCCACACTCAAATACCTAATACAGGGGCCTTAATAGCTAGAAGAGGGTTCTGGACCAGAAGGGAATATTATGAGGAATAATTCCGACCCCTATATTACCTAGAAACCTTTCTGCCTCAAGTAAGACTTAGGAGTCCGAAGCCTTCAAACGTTCAAACCTTCAGACCTTCAGACACCTTCAAATCTTTCATCCTTACAACCCTCAAGCCGTTGAGCCTTTAAACTAGTTCATGGTTGGGATAGTAACATAATTTAAATTTCTACTCCTTGTTGAGCTTAAGTACCCTTAGAACTGTAAGATGTTTCCCCACTATGACAAGTAAACCCTAAATCCCGCCTGCCACCGCCCCCGGCCGCTCGACGGCCTCAGGTCGAGACTTCTTGAGCTTCTCGAGGCCTCTCGATGGGCTGGGAGTGGGCCGTGTGTGCGTGTTATAGGGTTCGCAAGGGAGGGGGGGGGGTTCATGGGGGGTAGGTACCTAAGGAGCCTTAGGGAAGCTTTGGGAGCCTTAGGGAGTAGTAGCGAGTATTAGGTTTTGGTTCTTTTCTACTACTTGCTTTAGTGCCCCTCAAAAACTGAAAGAGAACAATCCCGGTATTGCCCTTTTCAGGAAGAATACTTGAATTTTGGGGGGTTCTCAAGCATGTAGTAGTTTTGTTTTGGGGGGAGAGGGGGTGCGGGGGGGGGGGCGGGGGGCAGAGGAGATACTTGGGATCTGCTGGGTTCTTTGGGCCTAGGGACCCGGGATTGGCTACAACCTTACGCAGGGTACTGATAACCCTGTACGTATGAGCTGAAGGTTTCCGGATTTAGGGATTTAGGTTTCGGGGTGAACGGGTTTAGGCCCTGAGGGGGCGCTCGGGATTTTCTCAAAGAGGTTGCTCGGAGGTATTAGGATATAACCCTGAACTCCTGGTGTGGGATGGGGGTTTTGGGTTTAGGGCTTCAGGGTTTAGGGGTTTGGGGGTTCAGGGCTTGAGATTTATGGTTTAGGGTTTATGTGTGTAGGGTTAGTTGGGGTTTGGGATTTCAAGATAGGGTTTAGCGGTTTAGGGTTTTGGGCTCCAGGATTTAGTGCTTGGGGGTTTAGGGGTTTGGGGTTGTGTCCCCACACCGAAACCCCGACGCGCTCGCCTGCCATGCCTGCCAAGAACATGGCTGGCTGGCAAACCTGGGGGTCCCCATGTCGGTTGAGGGCTGAGAGGCGCACGGCTCAAGTTTTTGGGGCTTTGCGGTTTGGGCCTTTAGGGTTTGGGGCTTAGGGTTTTGGATGAGGCTGGGCCTTGGTGTTCAGCGTAGGGGTTCACCAAGCTCTCGAGAGGGTCTTGAAGGGTAACCTACAGCCACGTCCCGCAAAGAATCCGAAAGAAATGCAGAGGTCGACGCCAGCCCCCAAGCTCCGAAGCCTAAATCCAAACTACCGGTTTAGGGTTTTCAATTAAGGGTTTAGGGTTGAGGGTTGAGGGTTCAGGGTTCAGGGTTTAGGGTTCCGGTCGCGCGCCCCTCAATGAGAACAAGGCAATAGCAAGAGAAGATCTGCGCTGCATTATGGGCGTAAAGCGTTCTCATGGGGTCCTACAACTACCCCCACCTCACTCATCCCTCAATTACCCTTGATTCACACGAAACCCTAAACCCTAAACTCTAATCCCAACCAGACGCCACCATCGGGTTTATGTAGGGAGCTAAGGGTTTAGGGTTAGGGGTTCAGGGGTTCAGGGGTTCAGGGGTTCAGGGGTTCAGGGGTTCAGGGGTTCAGGGTTCAGGGTTCAGGGGTTCAGGGGTTTAGGGGTTTAGGGGTTTAGGGGTTTAGGGGTTTTGGGGTTTTGGGGTTTTGGGGTTTTGGGGTTTTGGGGTTTTGGGGGTTTGGGGCTTTGGGGTTTTGGGGTTTTGGGGTTTTGGGGGTTTTGGGTTTTTGGGTTTTGGGGTTTTGGGGTTTTGGGTTTTTGGGGTTTTGGGGTTTTGGGGTTTTGGGGTTTTGGGGTTTTGGGGTTTTGGGGTTTTGGGGTTTTGGGGTTTTGGGGTTTTGGGGTTTAGGGTTTTTTTAGGGCTCAGGGTGTCAGGGCTTAGGTTTTTAGGGTTTAGGTCTTATGGAGTTTTGGGTTTAGCGTTTAGACCTGAATGTTTGGGGAACCTAGTTGAAATTCCGGAACAACAAGCTCCCAACTTCATGAATCCAAAAAAACACGAAACCCCAAAAACAACTTTGGGCCTTCAGGTCTGAGTCACCAGGACCACCACTGTATGCACATTCTGACTCAATGCCAAGGACGTATTCGCATACACCACATGGGCCGATCATGCGGGCAAACACAGCAAGATTGCCGTCGCCCCCGTACACAGCAAGATTGCCGTCGCCCTTGTCGACAAGGAGCGTGCGCTCGCTTAACGTAGGCACTGCAAGCCCCTGTCATCCGGAGGTGCCCGGGGCATAGCAGCTTGCGCACCCGGCTGCTGTGGTCGCCATCCCAGCCGGATTTTCGACTTGCCCTTCAACTTCTCCCTAAACCCTAAACCCTAAACCCTATATCCTGTACCCTAAACCCTAAACCGAGAATCTCCAGAGCCATCTGTCTATGCGAGGCAGATAGACGATCTCAGCGTGGAGACCACACTCGTAGGGCTTTCAGCACTTCTCGAACCAACCGAAGCCCTGAACCCTAAGCCCTAAACCCTAAACCCTAAACCCCAAACCCCAAACCCCAAACCCGAAACCCTAAACCCTAAACCCTAAACCCTAAACCCTAAACCCAATCAAACCCTAAGCCCTACACCCTACCCCGTGAATCTGAGATGCCCACGCTGGTCTCCTCAAGCTTCTCCTCAGGTCCGTTCAGGCACACCTGCGCACCGCATCGAGGGTTCAGGGTTCAGGGTTCAGGGTTTAGGGTTTAGGGTTGAGGGTTTAGGGTTTAGGGTTTCGGGTTTATTGATTAGGGTTTAGGGGTTAGGGGTTAGAGGTTCGGGGTTTAGGGTTCAGGGTTTAGGGCTTCAGGGTTTAAGATCTAAGGTTTAAGGTTTCGGGGCTTCAGCAGTAGTAGGGTTTATAGGCCTCGGGGTGAATGTTGGTAGGTTGAGGCCTTGGTAAAAATTGGGTTTCGTGCCGAGGACAGCAAGGGGCTCAGGGCTCAGGAGTAGGAAATCCGAGTTTAGGAGCTAAAGGGTTTAGGGTTTAGGGTTTAGGGTTTAGGGTTTAGGGACATAGGGTTTAGGGCCAAGTTGAGGGTTCAGGGACTTCGGAGATGACCCTGGGACATCAGAATCTCTAAACCCTAAACCCTAAACCCTAAACCGTAAACCCTAAACCCTAAACCCCCCGAGACCTCGAGGATGTCGTAGCCCAGCACCGACTGGGCAGTGGCGATCATCTGCTTGACGTTCGCGTCGTCCTCCGGATTTTTGGGCTGCTCTGGGGCTTCTGAGCTTTAGGGTGTAGGGTTTAGGGTTTAGGGTTTAGGCTTTAGGCTTTAGGCTTTAGGCTTTAGGGTTTAGGGTTTTTTTGGTTTAGGGTCTCGGGTTTGGGCTTTTGGGCTTTTTGGGCTTTTTGGGGCTGTGGGGTTTAGGGTTCTGGGCTTTGGGTTTGAAGGCTTGGGCGTCTTTGAGTTTAGGGCACAGTTCGGGCTGGACGGCAAGAAAAGGGGGTCGGAGGTTAAGCACGCAGGCTCTACGGCTAAACCCTAAACCCTAAACCCTAAAGGCCCTGAACCCTAAACCCTAAACTCTATACCCCCTGCAACCCAGGAGCCCCTAAACCCTTGCACGCGCTTCGCGGCTGGGTTTAGGGTTTAGAATTTCGGGTTTAGAGTTTAGGGTTTCGGGGGTTTAGAGTTTAGGGTTTCGGGTTTAGGGCTTGTCCTATCCCTTCCCCCAATATTTTACCCCCCCCCTCCTTACCTAATATTAAATACTATAATATAACTATATAATGGGTATTTAGTAGGTAGGGCCCCCTAATATTAAGTGCGATAATGTGACTATATATAATGGGTACTTAGTATTAGGGGGTAGGGGGGAGTAGTGGGGAGTATTAAGAAACCTTGCGTTACATACGCCCTTGAACCCCCCCTCCTTAAGAACCCTCTAATGTGCGGGGTTTCGGGTGCGGGGTTTGGGGTTTGGGGTTTGGGGTTTGGGGCTTGGGGTTTGGGGTTTGGGGTTTGGGGTTTAGGGTTTAGGGTTTAGGGTTTAGGGTTCAGGGTTTGGGTTTAGGGTTTCGGGTTTCGGGTTTAGGGTTTAGGCTTTAGGGATTCTTCCCCGTCCTTCAGGCCCTCCAGCATCTTGACATACTGGGAGCCTTGCCCTGGATGCGAGACTTCGCGTGGGGTTTGGGTTTTTGACATGTCGGCAGAGGCAGGGTCGATGAAACCCTGAAACCCTAAAACCCTGAAACCCTAAAACCCTGAAACCCTAAAACCCTGAAACCCTACTGTAAACCCTAAACCCTAAACCTTGAAACCCTGAAACCCTAAAACCCCGAGACCCTAAAACCCGAAACCCCAGGACCCTCGCAATCGCACGGGACCTGAAAGCCGGGCCTCTAAACCCGGACCTGACTTTTGCCGGTCTCAGGGTTCAGGGTTTAGGGAATTTACCTGCATGGGGCATGAGCAATATACATACATACACATATGGGTGGTTGTCAAAATTATGATCCCTTGTGGGGTACCCTAAATATTAGGTGCCGTATTATAATAGGGACCCAAAAAGGGACCATAATTTTGACAACCACCCATATGTACATGTTGGGGGGTTTAATAAGGGCACGGTGAACATCTAACGCCGATGCCCGAGAATTCCCGCAGCCGCCTGGGAAGAGGAGGGCGATGGTCGTGGGCCCGGTTGGGGCGCTCATGGCCTCAACCCACAGGGCTTGGGAGATTTTAGGGCTTAGAGTTTAGGGCTTTTTGGGCTTAGGGCCCTTAGAGCCTAAACCCTAAACCCTAAGCAGAGGTCAGGGTAGATTTGGGACCCAGTGGTCCTGGGTATGATGTAAACCTCCAAGCCCCAAACCCCCAAACCCTAAACCCTAAACCCCAAACCCTTCAAAGGTTCAGGGCGCAGGCTTCAGAGAATAGGATCTGCGGCTCGAGCACGTAGGTTCAAGGTTTATAGCCCCAAGGGTTTTTGAGGTTCAGAGCTTAGGGGTCTGGAGGTTTAGGGTTTAGGGCTCAGCCGTTTGGAGGTTTAGGGTGTTCGGGTGTTTAGGGTCTTGGGGCCTAGGGACACAAGGCATGTAAGTTATGGACAAGGAGACCCAATCTAGATGAAATTTACAAGGATCATATTGGAAAGTCTTCAAGAAATGGGTACCCCAAACATACCGCCCAAAATGCGATAATCCTCATTGTAGATCCGCCAAAAGGCTGCGATCCTGTCTTGGGACACCTCGAGTTCCAAAAATGCTGTACCTGTTTTGTGAAGCGGGGCCGGGCGGGGGGTTTAGGGTTTAGGGTTTAGGGTTGAGGGTTTAGGGTTTAGGGTTTAGGGTTTAGGGTTTAGGGTTTAGGGTTTAGGGTTTAGGGTTTAGGGTTTAGGGTTTAGGGTTTAGGGTTTATGGTTTAGGGTTTAAGGTTTAAGGTTTAAGGTTTAGGGTAAATACCCAAGTCGCTATTTCTTTAACCCAGTATCCCCGTGCCTCCACCGCCAAGGCGGAGCCGGCTGTTAAGCTGGGCTGCTTGGCCTCACCGAGCTTAGGGTTTAGGGTTTAGGGTTTAGGGTTTAGGGTTTAGGGTTTAGGGTTTAGGGTTTAGGGTTTAGGGTTTAGGGTTTAGGGTTTAGGGTTTTTGGGCTTTTGGGCTTTTGGGCTTTTGGGCTTTTGGGCTTTTGGGCTTTTGGATTGTAGGGTTTAGGGTTTAGGGTTTAGGATTTAGGGTTTAGGGCCTGCTCGATTGCCAAGGCCTAAAACAGACCGAGTTCAAACCGGACTCCATAACGAAGCTACTTGGAGGTTTATAGGTAGTTATAACTCGGGTACTAAGTAGGATTAGGACAGCCATAGTCCTAGCCCTCATTTAGGGTGTTTGCAACCCTACGTACAACTACCCATGAACCTCCAAACATGTTAGACCCAAACATCCTAAACTCTGGACCCATACGTCCGAGAGGCCTTGGTGATCTTCTTGATCTCCTCGAAGGGGTCCTGGGCTCAAGGCCGGGCAGGGTGGAGGGTGGGGAACCCAGGTCGAGGATTCAGGGGGTTTAGGGTTTAGGGTTTAGGGCTTAGGGTTTAGGGTTTAGGGTTTCGGGTTTAGGGATTAGGGTTTAGGGATTCCAGGGGGTCGCGGGGGTTTTGGAGTGCTGGTTAAGAGAAGGGGAGGGGGGCCGATTTTGGGCTGAGCTGTCTGGGAAGCATACACTGCCTCTCGCACTTCTCGGCCACTGCAGGCAAGGCAGGGCGACTTTCGCACGTGGAGAAATTGCAAACATCCTGAAGCCTCAAACCACTGGCAAGGAGGCATGCGAGACACTGCTGTCTATCCCAAGCCCTCCATCCCTTCCGCCTTGCCGCTGCCCGTCTCGCCGCTCTGGTAGATGTTATACCTGGCCGGGGGTTTTCATGTGCCAGCTGCACGAGCCTGGCAGTGCTCCAGCTTAGTAGCCCAGCAACCATATTCTTACCCGTTTACTTTACAAGGGAACCCAGAACCCAAAAGAGTGGTAAAGGGCGCTACTGGGCTGCCAAGCCGGTAGTTCCTGCGACTTTTGTACTCAAAAGCTTCCAGCATCCCGGAAGTACCAGCCCTCTCCTCCGGCCATCGATCCGCGGCCAGCTTGGGAGAGGCAGCCTTTACATGCCCTTCACCTTCTTCTCGATGCTACAGCCTGGGCCAACGATCCGTAGCCGGGCTCTGTACACAAATGCAGTAAGATGAAAGGCTAGTGCCGATCCAAGATCGGCCGGTGCATTCTGCAATCTGTACAACAAAATCAGGGCCAAGCTCGCGAACTCCCGCCCCGCGCGACGTCCATTGACGCAAGCGCTCAGGCACTGCTTGCATCCTCCTGGGTCAACTCCTCGGTTGCCCGGTTGAGAGCAGGCAGCGGCTTCATGATGCCGTCAGACCACAGTGGCCCACCGGGCCTGGGGATGACGCGGAAGGCCAGCTTCTCGGGCGAGGGCGCGGCACCGCCACCCTCGCAGCTGGCCACCATCTGATATCCCGGAATGCCCTGCAGGCGGAAGTGGATCAAGATCGAGGCCAGAAAGGTCTTGGCTTCGAAGAGGGCAAACTGGCTTCCGATGCAGGCGCGACTGGCAAAGCCCCAGGGATGGTAGGCGTTGGGATGTCGCTGCCGCACCGCCTCCGGGGAGAAGCGATCTGGGTTGAAGGACAGCGGATCTCCAAACTCACCACCCCAGTACTCCGGATTCGTGTGCAGGGCGCGCGTCACCAGGTTGATCCGCTCCCCCTGATACACCCGATGGCCACCCAGCAAGGTGTCATACGCCACGTCCCGCGTAATGGACGTCACGGGGCTGTAGAGCCTCAGCGCCTCCCTGAAACACTGCTCCACGAATTGCAGCTTGGGCACGTCGTCCACGGAGGGCTCCGTGCGGCCCTGCAGCACCTGCCTGACCTCCTCAAGGGCACGCTCTTCGTAGGCAGGATTCTCGGCCAGCAGCTGCAAGGTGAAGCCCAGGGTGGCCGCGGTGGTCTCATGCCCCGCAATCCTGCACTCCCCTTAGAACCTTGATAAAAAATATTGTGTTTAATATCCTCTTGGGTTTTATATAAACAAAAATACAAAAATAGTTTCCAAGGCGGATATAGAATCATCAAGTTCACGATGTGCCCGTAGAGGGCGCCGTAGCGAACCCGCTTGCCATCCGCGCTGAGGTCGTTCAGCATCGTGGCGATGATCGAGTTTTCACCGAGCTCACCCCTGCGCGTGGCTTCCACGAGGTCTTCGACTTGTCGATGCATCTCCTAGATTCAGTCGAAACAACATCAAAAATGTAAATGTCTGCTCCTTGTTGAGTTTAAGTACCCTTAAAAGTGTAACATGTAACCGTACTAAAGTTATCATGTCTCTTCCTTATTGAGTTTAAGTACCCTTAAACATGTAGCATGTTACCCCCACCATGACAAAGTCTCCTTCTTGGCGGCCTGGTACCTCTCCTGAAGCTGACCCTCGGCATCGAAGAAGGGCAGGAAGCGCTTGAGGCCATACCTTGCTTAGCCCGGTATATAACCGCGCTTTCTCAAAACCCCCTCTTTTTGGGGGTTTCGTTGCTTTATTCAGGGGAACCAGGAAGGCACCAAAAAGGGCAGAAGGGTTATCACTGGGCTCTCCCAAGGTACTCAGACTGTGCCGTGATGCTTCCTATTGACACGCCCAGGCCGAAGCGGAAAGTCTCGACAAACTTGTGAGGCGCTTGCTTGGAACCCAAGCGCTCCACGTTGCACATGTCCATGCCCATGCTACACGAGACCACGGCATCTGCGGTCATGGCCGTCAGCCACTCGTTCACATCTTCGACCAGGTGGCCAGCTGCAAACTTCGACCATTCCCCAACGAAGGCGCGGGTCTTGGCCAAGATCTGTGGGGCAAAGCCCTTCACCTGGGTGGCTGTCAAAACTATGATCCTTTTTTGGGGTACCCGAAATATTAGGTGCCGTATTATAATGGGGATCCAAAAAGGGACCATGATTTTGACAACCACAGACCTTGATTTGATTGAAGCCGCGAGGGAGGAGGCTGTGGCCCGTCTTCCAATCCTCCGACTTCTCGCTGCTGGTGAAGAGGCCATTGGCCGTGAAGTCCTGTTTAGGGTTTAGGGTTTAGGGTTTAGGGTTTAAGGTTTAGGGTTTAGGGTTTAAGGTTTAGGGTTTAGGGTTTAGGGTTTAGGGTCTAGGGTTTTGGGGCTTCAGCCAGCGTCACAGCTTGCTTCCACAAAACTTTGCTTCTTCCGGGTTGTGTCTGGGTGGCAAAGCGAAGTCTCCAAAAATGATGTCGCAATCAGCAGATGTGCGTATTTACATGTATATACCATGCACATACGATCACATACACATGCACAAGCATTGTCCCAGCCCTTGCCTGCAATCCGACCTCAACATCTCGGTTCCAAAGTTTAGGGAAATCCGCGGCTCTTGAGATCAGCTCTTGGACGATGTTGGCATCAGCCGTCATGGTTTCGGTGTATTCAGCATCCTGGTGGAACACTGCAGAACCGAACTCCCCGACAGCTTGCTTGCGACCTTCGTGGCATCGAACAGTGGAGCCATACGGATACTTGCCACTCGCGGGAAACACATTTCGAGCGAAGTTGTACTCAACAATCGGGTAAGGCCCCTTGTACTGGTAGCTGGTGCCGAGGATCGGGAGGCACACTCCACACATTGGGAAGGCCTTGGGACCCTCCGGCACCTCTGTCGGACAGGGTGCTTCCCGAGCGAAGACCAGTTGAAGCACCTGCAGCTGATCTGGCGGCAGGGCCGAAAGCAGCAGATCCAGCCTGCTCATCTCCGTAAGGCGGTCCCTGAGCTTCACGCAAGCTCCATCCGCCCTCTGCTCCACGGGAAAGAAGCCGAAGTGCTCAACATCTGCCGGTCGGCTGCATTCACCCACCGCTACCAGGGTAGCTTGGTGCAAATCCCGCAGATTCGCCGTCTTCGGCAGCTTCACAAAGTGCCACACACCGGAGATCTCGGGGCAATGCACTGCCAGGTGGTACTCAAAAGGTGACGATGCTCCTCGTCGCGCGGATGCTTTCCTTGGATGAAACACAAATCGTGGCGACTTGTGACTCAGTGCCTCTCTCCATAAACCTGGTAGCTATCTCTTCATTGCCCTGGCATCAGCGGGAGGGTCCATATTCACGCCTTTTCGGAGAGCTTTCTCCCCCTGGTTCTTAGCAGGGAATGAGGGAATGAGGTACCTCAACCCTCAACCCGAAACCCTAAACCCTAAACCCTAAACCCTAACCCTCAAGCTCAGGTCCGAGCTTCACAGACTTCTTCAGAGCCTCGGATGCCAGCATCAAGGCCGTGGCCCCCACCGCCATGCCGCCTGCCATCTGCGGCGGTTTAGGGTTGCTAGGGGGTTTTGGGTTGTTAGGGGGTTTAGGGTTTAGGGTTTAGGGTTTAGGGTGTAGGGTTTAGGGTTTAGGGTTTAGGGTTGGTAGGGGGTTTAGGGTTTAGGGTTGAGGGTTGAGGGTTTAGGGTTTAGGGTTTAGGGTTTAGGGCTTAGGGCTGAGGGTTGAGGGTTTAGGGCCATGCCACCTGCCATCTTGAGGATCTGCGAGTTCTCGGCCATGGCAAGCGCTGGCGCAAGGCTCTGAAGGTCCTGGAAGTTCCTGAAGTCTTGAGCTCTTTTTCTTTGAAGAAGCACAGCGCGGTGTAAGGTTTAGGGTTTAGGGTTTAGGGCTTAGGGCTTAGGTTTAGAGTTTTAAGGTTTAGGGTTTTAGGGTTTAGGGTTTAGGGTTCAGGGTTCAGGGTTCAGGGTTTAAGGTACGGTTTGGGTTTTGGGTTTTGGGTTTAGTGTTTGGGGTTTAGGGGCCAATGCAGAGAAGGTCGTGCAAGCCGACCCCAGCCTGGCAAGTTATTCGTCTCAGAATATCTCAGATTCCACCCCAAAGCCCTGCTTGGAGGTTCGTGGTACTTAATCACCAATTATATAACTGTATTCATAACCCACTTGTAAGCCCCTCAATTCCCCTAATATGGTTAGAATTGGGTTATAAGTGCAAGTACAATATGGTTAGGAAGTACCATGAACCTCCACGTCTAACGCCCGCAGTCAAGCTTGTGAACCCCAGCTGGCTTTCCATGACCCTGCCTGGCATTGTTCTCCTTCCCATATCGTACCTCCGCAGAGGCAGAGGCAGTCACTTCAGCTGCAGAGCACTCCCAAAACCCCGCCAACTTCAGACTCCTACTACTTGGAGGTTCATCATAAGTAGGGTTATATGTCGTTCCCTGACTGAGGTTTACACCCGCTATAACTATACTTGCCCCACTTATTCCCCTCCTTCTGACTAAAGCACTAGACCCCCCAAGTCCCTGCTAAACCCCCTAAACCTACTACTTTCCCAACTCCCACAGCCCCCGAGACTCCCTACTAAACCACTCTCAACCCCCGAAAACCCTGAGGAAGGCGCATATTTGTGTGGAGGGATGTCTTTCAGCGCCTTCTCCTCGGCGGATGAGCACTGCGCGATCCAAAACCCAACAGAGCGCTTAAGAACGTAGGGCTGCAGGGTGTTTTTGGAGATTTAGGGGGTTTTCGGGGATTTTCGGGGCTTTTAGGGGCGTTTAGGCTGAGGGCTCTAGGTGTATAGAGGAGGGTTTCGGAACAAGCCCCACACCTGAATCCTGAATTCCAAGCCTCAAAAGAGCCCCTCGCAGGGCCCCCCCGCCAGGATCGCGACGATGTCGTCCCAACCGTGCTTGACCGCGATGTCCTGCAAGCAACACCATGCTTCGAGGGTCCGTGGGAGGCAATCACTGCATAGCAGTAGGCATGTTTAATATACTTTAGTTATTTATGTTTCAATTTACATAGAGAAGTGTGTATATATATATACACATACAAAACATATATATAGAGAGAGAGAGAGCCCCGTAGTGGGGGAACCCTAAACCCTACAAACCAGAAGCCCTAAACCCTAAACCCTGAACCCTAGACCCTGAAGTGTAGACCCTGAACTCTAAACCCCAAACCCCAAACCCTAAAACCCAAACCCTAAACCCTTGACACCCTAAACACCCTAAACCCAAACCCGAAACCCCAAACCCCAAACCCCAAACCTCAATCCCTAAACCCTAACCCCAAACCCTAAACCTAAACCCCAAACCTAAAACCCCAAACCCTAAACCCCACACCCTAAACCCTAAACCCTAAACCCTAAACACCCCAAACCCTAAACCCTAAACCCGAAACACCCTGAACCCTAAACCCTCTAAGAAACCCAAGCCCTGCTTAGGCGGCCTTGGCCGTCTCGCCCTCGGAGGACTCCTGCTTGGGGGCTTTGTGGGGCTTCTGGGGGCTTTTGGGGTTTAGGGTTTAGGGTTTAGGGCTTAAGGTTTAGGATTTAGGGTTTAGGGTTTAGGGTTTCGGGTTTAGGGCTAGAGGGTTCAGGGTTTAGGGGGCAGTTATAGTTAGACTTATAAGTTGTAAGTAGGGTAACCGTACGTTGAACCTTACATAGGGTTCTAGGGTTCGAGGTTCATATAGGTTTTAGGTGTGTCTGCAACAACCACGGATGAAGGATGAAAAAATCAAAATCACACCTAAACCCTAAACCCTGAACCCTAAACCCCTATACCCCTAACCTGTCTGCGATTCCTGGGACCCCTGGCACCCCCCTGGGAGCCCCTGGGATCCCGCCCCCTCACATACCTCTAAACCTCTTCACCCTTTCAACTGCCTGGGACCCTACACCCTGTTCTCCTGCGGGGTGGGGGGCTTGAGCCGGAGGCTCTTAAATTTCGGGTTACGAAAGCTTAGAGTTGCGATTCAGTCTGGAGCTTAAGTCGTCAGGTTCAGCTCTCGGAGCCCTGAGCTCACTCCCCCTCATCCTCATGTCACCCTAAACCTCATGTCACCGTAAACCCTAAACCCGCAACCCTCCCCAGCCCCCTAGTATTTGAGGGTATTCTCGTAGAGGAGAGGACCCTTTGTGTTTAACCCTTTATAAACCTTAACGTGCCAACCCAAGCCTAAACCCTAAACCCCTAAACCCCTAAGCTTTCAACTGTGAATCCTGAACTCTAAACCCAAACCGTAGCATCCCCCAACTCGTAGCAATGCCGGGCCAAACCTTAAACATTGCTTAGGGTTTAGGGTCTAGGGTCTAGGGGGCTACTTGAAGGTTCATGGGCAGGGCTAGCTTACTTCTCAGTGCGAATGAACCTGGTCAGAATGCGAAAACCGAAAGCCGCCACAAGGTACGCAGATTGCCCTTAAGTACGGAATACACCTCGACCCATGTACCGGTTCCCTCTAAAAATTCGAGGAATACTCCCCAAGCCCTCAGGCCCGCACAACCTAAACCCTCAACCCTCAACCCTCAACCCTCAACCCTCAACCCTCAACCCTCAACCCTCAACCTTCAAGCCCTCAGCCCTCAACCTTCAAGCCCTCGACCCCAATCCCTCAACCCGAAACCCTAAACCCTCAACCGCGAGGGGTGCGTTGGACTCTCTAGGTACTGACCCCAAGCCTTCCCAAAAGGGACGCGGCACCTCACAGCGCAGGGTTTAGGGTTCAGGGCTTAGGGTTTTGGGGTTTGGGTCTTAGGACTTAGGATTTAGGATTGAGGGTTTAGGATTTAGGGTTTAGGGTTTACAGTCCATCAGTGCTTTACAGCTTGTTTTCCCAATTGAGTGCGAGGTGGAGATGAGGGGCCCCAGACAAAATCACTTGGGCCCATGACAGAGACTTTCCAAATGCTCCGCAAAACCCTAAACCCTAAACCCTAAAACCCTAGTCTTGAGGGTCCCAGGCCTTTGCTTTTCTCTGGGGCGGGCGCCTGAAGCAGCGAAGCCAACACCCCCAACGCATCTGAGCCCTTCAGCGGGTTAGGATTTAAAGATTTGGCTTTAGGACTTAGGGCCTCAAGACATACCATAGTAACAAATACTCCATCCACCCTCCCCGCCCCCAAAAAATGAAGAAGGATCTAAGGATCCAAGCCCTAACCCGCAAACACCTTTACCCCCCCCCCCCCCCCCCCCCCCCAACACCTAAGCAGCTGATTCTAACTCTCCCCCTTGTCCCAAGAAACCTTTCCAGAAAAGGTCCTCGAAAAACCTAACCCCCCCCCTTGCTTAACAACCAAACAATTTGGCGAAGTTACTTAACCAAACAAACCTCCCGAACAGGAAAAAGTAAAACCTGACAAGCAAAACCAACCCACCCACCCACCCACCCACCCACCCACCCACCCACCCACCCACCCCGAAGACCATACATATATATATATATACACACACACCCTCCCAAAAAAAACAAAAAAATCTCAAACAAATCAGCCGCCAAGCCCGGGCTTCGCACAACCCTAAACCCCTACACCCCTACACCTCTCATCCCTAAACCCTACCCCCCCCCCCCCCCCCCAAACCCTCCAAGCCCTCTAAACCCCCTCCTCATCCCTGGTTTCTCCTAAGCCCTTAACCCTAACCCCCCCCCCCCCCGAAGCCCCTCAAGACATCGGCCCACCAGGGCCCCTGGCTTCATGTGTGGGTCCGCTTTCGCCTTGATCATCAGCTCCACGCACTCCGTCTGGCCGGTCCTTCGGCGAAGCTTTGGGAGGGTTCAGGGGGGTTTACGGGGCTTTGGGGGGGGGGGGTTTGGGCGTTCAGTTGGTTTAGGGAGTTTAGGGGGTTAGGGTGGGGGTTGTGGGGGGGGTTAGGGGGTTTAGGAGGGGTTTGGTTAGGAGGTTTAGGGGGGTTTTAGGGGGTTTAGGAGGATTTGGGGGGGGGGGGGGGGGTTGTGCGTAAGAGCGCTCCGCCAAAACGGTCTAGGGTTTGGGGCTTAGAGTTTAAGGTTTAGGGTTTCGCCTAATGCATACAGCCCGGGCCCCCGAACACCTCCCCCCGCCCCGACTCAGGCCCCGGCTGGCAGGCCAACATCAGTGGCGTCATGACCTCGGTTGTGGGTTTAGGGGTTTAGGAGTTTAGGGGCTTAGCGCTTGAGGTCCAGGGTTGAAGGGTTCAGGCTTTGGCGGGTTTAGGGTTTGGGGTTTAGGGCGTCGGGTTTAGGGTTTTAGGGTTTTCGGGTATTTGGGTTTTAGCCCTAAACCCCTAAGTTCCTGAACTCGCCCTGAGGGGATGGGGGCGACTGCTTGCTCTTTAGGGATAAGGGTTCAACATATTGGCTGTTTTACCCTACCTACTAACTTCAGACAACCCGTTAAGGGGTTCTGTAAACCCTTAACCCTCAACCCTTGACCCTAAACCCAAGTCCTTGAGAACCAGTACACATGGGCACTTTGAACATCCCAAAGCCCTGAAACCCCAAGACCCTAAAACCCTAAAGCAACCTTTTTAAGACGCCTAAGCCCTAAACGCTTAAGCCCTAAACCCTTTAAACCAAAACCCTTAAGCCCTAGAGCAACCCAGAAAAAACCTAAGCCCTAAACCCTTAAACCCTAAAGCCGAAGACGCTCCAAAACTGATGTTTAGGGACCCTAGAAACAAAGCTTGAAGCTGGAGCACACAGGCGTGCAATATCCGCGCAGGCGGAGATGAGCCACAGCGTCGGCAAGGCAGAACATGTCGGCGTACGGCCACCACGGCGGGCGAAGGACCGTG